CTCTTGAAGTTTTTGTCCTTCTCTGTTATCTTTTCAAGTTTCTCTTTTATTATCTGACTGTTAAATACTGATGGCCCCAGAGTTATTCTGGATTCTCTTCTCTTTTTGTTTGGCACATTGTCTTTGGGAAATTTTATTCATTCCCATAGTCCCATGTGCCAACTATACTTTTTTAAAAATATATTTTTTTATTGATTTCAGAGGAAGGGAGACAGAGAGAGAAATAGAAACATCAATGATGAGAGAGAACCATTGATTGGCTGCCTTCTGCATGCTCCCCTCTGAGGATTGAGCCCATAATCTGGAATCAAACCATGACCTAGTTCATAGGTCAATGCTCAACCACTGAGCCATGCCAGCTGGGCCTAACTGTACTCTTTTATTTATTTATTTATTTAAATTCTTTATTATTTAAGGTATTACAAATGTGTCCTCATCCCCCCCATTAAACTAACTGTACTCTTTTAATTACCAATTCTTTCTCTCTCTCTCTCTCTCTCTCTCTCTCTCTCTCTCTCTCTCTCTCTCCCTCTCCCTCTCCCTCTCCCTCTCCCTCTCTGTCTCTCTCTCTCCCTTCCTCCCTCCCTCCCTCTTTCCATTTCTCTATCTCCCTCTCTGTCTCTATTTCCATCTCCATCTGTCTGTCATTTCATCCAACAAATATTCATTGGCAGTTATTCTATGCCAGGCATCATGCCAAACACTCTGGCCCAGATTCCTGCCGGAGCACCAGATCCACATAACCAGTTTGATTTCTGTGTGTCTCAAAGGCATCTCAAATTCAAGATGCCCAGAACTAAACATATTATTCCCTAATTTTCCAAACATGTTCCCCACTCTGTATTTTCTGACCCAGAGACAAGAATTATCGTTCACTAGGGTGCCCAATCCAGAATTCTCAGTCATATCTGAGTTCTCCGTAATTATCTTCCCTGCTTCTAATTAGTTGCTAAATTCTACCTCTTAAGTACAGGGTATACATACTTTAACACCTGATAGCTCAATTTTGAAAATGAAATGTATTTTAATAAGGACTGTCTTTATAATTATTCAAAGTGTCTGTATACATTTTTTAGGGACCCTATATTTTAGTCTGTTGTGGTTGTTTTGTGCCCAGGCTCTGGAGTCAAATCACAGCTATACCATAGCTGACTGCCTAACATTAAAAATGAGTTGTTTACTACTCTAGACCTCATTTTTGTCTTCTGTAAAATGAGGATGGAACCTAATTCATAGTGATGTGGTGAGTATTAAATGAAACAATCTATGTTCAGCACACAGCACTCTGCCTAGCACATAGGAAGTATTTAATAAACAAAGATTATTTCATTAATCATCCTTATTGACATTGCATTATTTAAAATCTCTCTCCTTTCTTGACTAACATCCTAAATGGTCAGCAATAACATTGTAACTGGTCTCTTTGTGTCTCATCTTGCCCCTCCTCAGACCATTCTTCACACCACTGCCCAAAAATCTGACCTAAAACACATTGGCATAAAATAGAAATGAAGTGAACAGTTTACACCCTCTTAGCTAATTACACATGGAGGGGGAAATCTCCCAAATTAGATCTACCTGAAAATTAGTATCAGGTCAGTGGTAAAGACAGAGACTTGCAATCAACTTCCAGACATAAATCACATTTGTAAAATATTGGCACACTTTCTCCACAACAAATATTATCCATGTCCATTAAGCTTGGCCTAGCCAAAGCAAGTGGTTAAGGTCATTTTATTACAAGACCCAGGTTCCTGATTCCTGATTCTTTGTTAATTGGCCAAAACATAATGGAGATGGATGTTTACAACTATCCTCAAAACTAAAGGGAATCCCCTAAGAAGAGCTGGATAGTACTAACTTTTTATAAGCATTTTAAAAACTCTGAATTGTCAACAAACTAAAGAACTTTGGATACAGCACGAAAAAAAGATTTAGTTGAAATTTATTGTTTTAACCTAAGAATTCAACCATTACAAGGCTGGGCAATGTTAAGTCATATTGGTAAAATAGTTATCATTTGATGTATTGTGAAAAACTTGTTAAAGAACAAAATTACACTACGGAATCCTGTGTCCCTATTCTAAAGCAAAAGAAACCTTACAGTAGGAGTTAAGAGAAAATTCCTAACTTGATAGGTGGAAACAGGGTAATATCATTTGTATCCCTAACTACTGATCTATTAACACTAGCCTACTTCTTAATGTCAACTGCCAGTAACGTTTTGCCTTGTCTTTTTTTTTTTTTAATCCTCACCCCAGGACATGTTTAGAGAGAGGAAGGGGGTGGGGGGGGGGAGAGAGAGAGAGAGGGAAAGAGAGAGAGAGAGAGAAAGACCAATCATCAAACCTGCAAATTAGGTATGTGACCTGACCAGGAATTAAACCACAACCTTTTGGACAATGCTCCAACCAACTGAGCCACCTGGCCAGGGCCAATCTGTCTAGTCTTCATTGAAATATAATCAACCTGTATCATTCAGACAGGAAAAATACTCCCAAAGAAAGACATTGCTTAGTTAGCAATGCAAAGAATTAACCTGAAAATGTGCAGACAACTAGTCAAAACTTAACCTTTATACCATGCCCTAAAAAAAACCCAAAACCAAACAAACAACAAAAAAACACCTGCATGAAAGAACATTTTCTCTATTGTTTATTAACCACATTTTTAGTCCTAAGCAGAAAATTAATATTGTTCGCTGTTTAAACAAAGCTATGTTGCCCTGACCAGTTTGGCTCGGTAGTTACAGCATCAGCTATGGACCAAAGGGTTGCAGGTTCGATCACCAGTCTTGGTCAGGCGTGTTCAGGAGGCAACCAGTCGTTGTGTCTCTTTCATATAGATGTTCCCCTCCTCCTCCTCCTCCTCCTCCTCCTCTTCCTCCTCCTCCTCCCTCCCTCCCTCCCTTCCCTGTCTCTCTAAAGATCAATGTAAAAAATATCCTCAGGTGAGGATTAAAACAAAAAAACAACCAAAAAAACCCAAAACTACATTACTCTCTTGATAACTCAAAGAAGTAGAGGAAGGAAATATTCAGAACACCTTAATTTTTTTTTTTTATGTTGAACCAGCTCTGCTTTGAAAAAATTCTGCAGCATACCAAACCTTATAGAATAACTAATGTCTTCATTACTGCTTTCTTTGCAAGTAATTTCAACTGTTATATAATCCCATCTTGAGCTATGTTATTAAAAAGTTCTAAAAGATAAAGATATGAATATCACAATTAGTTCCTTCACAGATGAAACCACAAAATTAATGAGGCAGCATCATTCATATAGCAACAAAAGGAAATGTACAACTTTTATTGCTATATGCCAAAAAAATGTTAAAAGGCACAGTCCCATATCACTACAACAAATCCCGGTTACAAATTTATGTCATTGCATGTGCATGCATTTGTAGAGTTGGGAAATCATTTGTTCAGAGATTTTTTTTTTAAGTAGCTAAAGACTAGAAACAATTCTAAAAAGGAAGGCATTTTTTAAATTCTGTCTCCATCCAAAATACAAAAATCTTATTTCAAAAAAATATTTGTTAATGAACAATGCATTTGGATTCTTTCTAAAATATTTGAGGCCCAAATTTATACTGCCCTGAGCTCTGTCTAGAAATAAAAAGTGCACAGATCTAAGGATGTGTACATGCTTGTTTATTACTAGAGGCCCGGTGCACAAATTTGTGCATGGGTGGGGTCCGGCCAGCCCGCCCCAATCGGTGTGATTGGGCTGGGCTGGCTGTGGGCGGCTGGCCAGCTGACCCTGCCCCCTGGTTGAACTTCTGGTTGAACTCCCAGTTGAGGGGACAATTTGCATATTAGCTTTTTATTATATAGGATGCCAGTCAGGCTTTTAGCACTAAAGGGGGTGGGGGAGATATTTAACTAAAAATAAAGTTCAACAATAAAAATGACTAATAATATATCTAACTCTTAGCCTAATGCCAGTAGTTTCCTTAGGTGGCAATAGAAGAAAAATAGAGTATAATGTGATAAAAGAAATATACCTGAGTCCATTCCTGTTGCCTCTATAGAATTTGATGAAATTAACAATTCCCTGCAAGGCCAATTATAGCTGCTGCTGAAACTTCCTGAAAGCATCATTTTGAACCTTTCAGTTTTGGTCTATAGCTATTACATTCTTCAGAAAATTTTTTAGCAATAATCAACATTTTCATCATATTGAGAAAAGAAATTTTGCAAGAAGCAGTGGTTTATCTTTCATTCAATGCAGTGAGTCTCTTTCAAGTATATACCCAGTCTCTGGAGATAAATTCAACAGTGTGTTCTCAAGAGCAGCCTCTCAGTCAGTCCTATTTTCAAACCAAAGATGACTGTGCTGCTGATATAGTGCTGTTGTGACAGATGACTACAGTAACAAATTTCTCTGTTTAGTTAAACAGGCTCTATTCACAACAGGCATCGAACTCTTTCCTTTGTATCATTCACCAACACTCATTTCTTAGCATAAACGTTGCTTTTCTTCACATTCTGTGCAATATATGCTTGAGAAAAAACATCCAATTTCCAACACTATCATTATTGTCCCTACTTTACAATCCTACAAGGGTAGTATGGTGTAATGAAAGTTACACAAGTTTTAAAATAAGGCAGATCTTGGTTAGAATCCCATGATCATCTAGTACAGCGGTCACCAACCTTTCGGACCTAACGGACCGCCAGTGGTCTGTGGACCACCGGTTGGTGACTACTGATCTAGTAGATACATGACCTCGGGAAAGTTACTTACCTTGTATTTGTTTAATTATTTGTAAAATGGGAAGAATAATGCTTCATTTGAAAATTTGCTGTAAAAATTAGATGTAGTACATACACAGATGTAATCTCTTCTCCACCAAATGGTAAGCACAAAAGCTGGCATTAAAGCAATAACTTCTTCCTATTTTTTCTTTCTATCTTTCTGCACAGCAAGGTAATGAATGCTTTATATTTTAATAATGCTAACAAGCTCTCCTTAGTTATTATTGAGCCATCTCACCTCTGTTGCTTTCATTCTCATCCAGATGACCTTTTGAGAACTGGACTCAGCTCTAGAATTTCTACATAGGCGGAACTTGGAGGAACAATCTGGTAAGAAGGAGACATTAGAAAAACTGTCTTAAAACTGAATTGTGCACAGCAAGGACATTGCTTTAATTCTAGTGTAAATAGAGGTACTTTTGCATTGATGAGGTGCTTACAAAACAAGCACCCTGCTTTTACTTATGTTGTATGTTTTAGGGCTAGCTATTCAGAAGGCTGATGGAGATACAAGGACCTTAAAAATCCCTCTTCTCCCATAACATCCTGCCATGATTTAGCCCATCATCAAACATTATGCTCCATGACACTTTTCAAAATAGCATTCGTAGCTCACATTAGTATCCATGCCCATAATACTCTTCCTTTCTCATAACCTATTTATTCCTCCATGCCTACCTTAAGATATATTAAAAATTAAAAACTACTCATTCCCCTTCATCTGATTTTGACCAAAATTCCATTTTTCTGGAATCAAGAGAACTGCAACATCCTGGCTAATGCTGGGGCCAGACTGCCTGTGTTCAGGCAGGTGGGTGACCTTGGGCAGGTTCTTTATCCCCTCTGGGCCTCTCAGCTTCCTCACCTATAGAATGAGGATAGCAGTAGTAATCCATCCCGCAGGATTGCTGCAAGTACTTAATGAGTAATACCTGTAAAGTTTGGCATAAAGTTAGTGATATATAAAGTTTAGCGATTATTACTACTAAGTTAAAATGGTACTTTCTTATATGTAAATACAGCCTTCATATAGGCACTTACCTAGAAGCAACTGCCTCATAATCAGCTCCTCTAGATACATGGTAATTAGTCCAACTAAGTGATGCCTAAAATCCATTTTTCTTCCATTTTTATCTGTAGCAAAGTGTTATTTTTTCATACATTCTATGTACTTGCTATGTGCCAGACACTGTGCTGGAAGCTGAGAATATAATGGTGAATAAAAACACATATTACCTCTCCCCTGGTGATATGTATGAATAGTGGGGGAGAGCATCACCAATCCAATAATCATAAAACAAATGGAAAGCATTAACTATGAAAAATGCTACAAAGTGTGTTATATGAAGGCAAGAAGGCCAACTTGCCAAAAATCAATTTGCACAAAGCCAATTTGCCAAAAGTCAATTTTCCAAATGACTGATCCTCTGTATTCCCTAACAGACAATTCATCGAAAGCTAGTTCGCCAAAAGCCAATTTCTAGAAAATCAATTTGATGAAAAATAATCTGCCAAATCATCATTTTACCAAATGAACAATTCACTGGATTATTGGATTTCTGAAGTCTGAATTTCACAGAAGTTTTGACAGTCCTTTCATTCCAGCTCTTTAACCCCACATTTGACAGTCAGTCTGAGCTAAATGTCAATTTCTTGTTTTCACATTTCAGACGCCAAGTCCTTCTCTAATGCCCAATGTTTTAGTGCTCCAATGTAAGCAAATGGTGGGCTTCTTACATGCAGCTCACTGCATGTAAGCTTGAAATGTAAGACTTAAGCTCTCCCTGCCTCTGCCTCTTCCAGAAAGAAAACTGCAGAGAACTATCTAGAACAGAGTAATAAACTGGTCTTCTGCAAATTGGCTTTGGCCAAATTTATTTTTAGCTAATTGGTCATTCATGGAATTGATTCCAAGTTGACTCTTTCTCAGTGATTACCTAAAGTTCATGTTTTGAAAACAGGGAATTTGGCCTAGTCAGACTGGTGAGAAAGGCTTCATTGAGGAAAAAAGTAACTGACCTGAGGTGAGAAGGATAAATTTTAAAAAGTAACCAAGCAAAAGGGGGAGGGGAGGAAGGAAACGGCATATGCAAAAAAAACCTATGTTCAGGAGGAAGCCCTGAAATTGCAAGACTTTGCAAAATAAGCCAGTGTTGTGGGAGTACAGAGAACACATGAGAGCACAGTGTGAACTGAGGCTAGAAATGTAGTTGGTAGCTAGACTATGTGTCTCACAGACTATAATAAAGACTTCTGTTCTTATTTTAAGAATGGGGAACTTAATATATTTTAAGTAGAGGAATGACATGGTCAGTTTTGCATTTTGAAAGATCACTTTGCAAGTGGTGTGGAGATCATATTTTTAGAGTGTACTGGTGCTCTAGCCAGCATGCTTTCAGTAATTACAGCGTTTGCCTATGCACTGGAGGGCCATGGGTTTGATTCCTGGTCAAGGACTAGTGTCCTTGTAAGAAGATGAAGAGATGCAAGAGAGCCCTCTCTTTTTCTCTGCATGGGCACATAGGAAAGGCCATGTAAGGACACAGGGAGAAGGTTGCCATTTACACCCAGGAGAAGAGACCTCATCGAAATCAACACTAATTGCACTTTGATCTTGGACTTCTAGCCCCAAGAACTGAGAAAATAAATTTCTGTTTTTTAAGTCACCCAGTTTTCAGTCATTTGTATGGCAGTTCTAGTGGACTAATACAGCCCTTACCTATTGAAAGACTTTAGTGGGATATACCTCCTCTGTTATGTTTACTTACAGTAGACAAACCTGGAACCTAAGGATTTACTAGTATGGGCCAGGACACTGGAAAATGTCGGGTAAACTAGTAACTACCTGAGTATAAAATGGAAATGTCATTCCTGAAAAAGCTCCCTTTGTGTAAATGATATAGCAACTTGCATTACTAATGTAGAGACTTCATGTTAATCTGTGCCAGAGTGAATACTCATGGAAGAGAGGATGTGGGAATCTGTGTTGGTGGTCTCAGACCTCTCTCTGCCAAGCCTGTTCCTCATGATTGCTTATAATGAATATTAGTAAAGCTTGATGCAGGGTAAGATCTCTGGCTGTCATGTGTCTGATTTGACAATTCCATCCTTTGTGTTCAGATCACTACCTCAGAGAATTATATAAATCAGTGCTTCTGAAAAATGCAGTGCCAAGTTCATAGCCAGTACTCATTAACTATTACTATTATTAATATGTTATTATAATCCCAAGAAATATTAGAGCTCTAATTTATATAATGAATATTAGGTGACAGGCACTTAAGCTAAGTGCCTTCCATGGATTATCTCATTTAATCATCCAAAAGCCCTATGTTCTATGTTTAATACCATCCTATGAGACGCCTGAAGCCTGGAGATTTTCCCAAGGTCATATAGCTAGTAAATTGTGCCACTGGGTTTTAAACCCAGCAATCTAACTCCCCAGTTGAGCTCTTGTTCTTGATTCTCAATAACCCTGCCTTGCTACACTATTCTGTCTCTGAAAGCCATTGGAATGTCCATCCAGGTGCTATTTTAGTATGCTGAAAAGATAATTTATTAACTAGCACCAAAGTGGCCTTCAAACGTTAATGCAGTTTCTGAATATATGTGACTTTCACCAAGGGAGTTACTTACGTCAGGAGAAGTAGAAAGAGAGAACACTATCTATTATTTTTACTCAATTTCTCAAAATGTAATCACCATTTGATATCCCACTGAGCATAACCCCCTGTGCTTCCCCAAAAAAGGGCATGGGCTGCTCAGTTTTGAAACAATGAGATAAAACTGGACCTTTAGGAAAATTAGCATGAGATTAGGAGAGTTTCTTTTTTTCTCTCTGTATTCACAGATAATGCAAGCTATTTCATGCTGTCATTGCTTTCTTTTTTAAAAATATATATTTTTTCTATTGATTTCAAAAAAGAAGGGAGAGGGAGAGGGAAAAAGAGATAGAAACATCAATGATGAGAATCATTGATCGGCTGCCTCCTGCATGCCCCCTCCTGGGGATCGAGCCCACAACCCGGGCATTTGCCCTTGACCAGAATCAAACCCGGGATCCTTCAGTCCACAGGCTGACACTCTATCCACTGAGCCGAACCGGCTAGGGCTCATTACTTTCTTATAAGCAACAATAAGGATAAGCAAAGACAAGAGAGACAAAAATCAACTCTACCTACTTTGCTAACAGCAATAATTACATCAACATACACGATTAACACATCATTCTGGAGGATAAAAGAGTACTGATAGGATTTGAAATTATATTTTGAATTGGTACAGACATTCCACAGCCTTTATTATATAATTGATAGTTATAAACTATATGCACTCAATTTAGCCTTATTCCATTTTATTCATTAAGGACATTCATTTTTATGAAATATCTGTAGACTGAATATTAAATCCAATTTCCATGGATTTTTACAATCCACACAATACTGAGAATGAGTGAATAAACAACAATGTCCCTTCACTGATGCAGGCAAGTGGAAGATTATCTAATAATGTTACCCAGGAAGCGTTATAGTGGCCATGTTTCTGTCCATTGTGGTTCAGCTTTCCGTCTGAATATCAAACAGGAAGTAATTTTTCCTGTCAAAGAAAGTAGACCATAGCCTTTGCCATCACAGAAAACAGGGCATGACAAAGAAAACAAGGTTCACAGCAGTCATATTAGAAAAGACCATATTTGAAGTATGCACTATGAATTGCAGATGCAAAGATAAAGAAATTTCTGTGAATAGTAATAAGGGCTTTGATACAAAAAATGTCTCCATCCTATTTGCAAGGAACACTCCAAAACAGGATTAGGAGGATGTGGAAGAAAAAAATCTAGATTGGACCAGAAGAGATAAGAATACTTATTAAGGAGAAAATAGAAATTGACAGTAGTATCCCATTTGTAAATAATTAATATTTAATTTTGTATACCTATACATAAGTCAACTGTACATAGAAATGTGTATTTGTTGTTTTTAGAAGTCCTTATGTAAAAAATTTCTTTCCCTAAGTATTGTTAGAAAGAGATACCAGAACTGAAAGGACCTGTTGGGAGAGGCAAAGTGCCATGGGCAGCTAGCATACTGCATATTCGTTCAGTGTATGCCAAAAATGAACAGCCCTGACCATTTCTCAAGGTTGTGTTTGCAGAGAGCAAATTGAGAGATAAGGTAATGTATCCATTCCACACAAAAAGCTGGCTTGCTTACTGCTTGCTATAATAACAGTGGATTCCCAAGTTCGGTGTTGCTATCATATAATATAGCCAACTGCATGTGCAGGCTCCCAACCAGGCCCTGTGTGAATGAGGGGCAAGGGAACCAAGGCAAGCATACTGATGCATCAGTGAAATAGTAACAGGCTAACATTAGCTTGCAAGCATGGTAAAATCAAATCTCAGAACCAACAGACCCTGTTTGGCACTATATTAAAGATCCCAGGGTCCAGAATAGATGAATGAGGTAAATAACATCTTTCATAATATGTTTTTGTTTTGTTTTGTTTAATGAAGATGGTATGTATCTTGCAAGAAAAAGGGCAGATAGTATGAACAATGCAGTTTGTGATTCAGGAAGAGAGCAAAGCTAATTGGCCCAGTATGAATATGATCATGTGATTGATCCACTGTCCTTTAGCAAGCCTATTAGCAGAAACTTGGAAAAAAAAATTTCCCGGCTGGCATGGCTCCGTGGTTGAGCACTGACATATGAACCAGGAGGTCATAGTTCCTGGTCAGGGCACATGCCTGGGTTGTACACTCTGTCCCCAGTGTGGGGCCTGCAGGAGGCAGGTGATCGATGATTCTCTCTTGTCATTGATGTTTCTATCTCTTTCTCTCCCCCTCTCCCTTCCTCTTTGAAATCAATAATAATATACATATTTTTTAATTATCTCTGGTGTGTGGGCTTCTGGTGTTGTGGAAGGTTTTTCAAATGTCTAGAAAGTGCCTTTTTCTATAACTCTGTAATAAACTTGCATATTTCCTTATATTTTTCAGTTTTCACACATCTTTCATAAAGTTATTTGTAGCATTTAACTTTATATTATATATTAAGGAACAGAGTTCAGAAATTGATGGGGGTGGGGCAGTAGGGCAGTCATGGCTCGTATTCATTCATTAACCAAACATTAAGCATCTGTGTGTCAGCCATTAATGTGTTTGGGTTTTTTTAATAGGTCTTTGTAGAGCAGCTTTAGGTTACAGAAAAATTCCACAAAAAGTTTAAATGGTTTAAATTTTTCCCTATTATTAACAACTTGTATTGTGTGGCACATTCGTTACAATTGATGAACCAATATTGGTACATTATTAACTAAAGACCACAGTTTACATTAGAGTTTCCTCTTTGTGTTATATATTCTATGAGTTTAACAAATGCATCATATCATGTGTCCATCATTACACCATCACATAGAATAGTTTCGCTACCATAAAAATCCCCTATACTCTACCTATTTATTCCTCCCTTCCCCTTAACCACCAACTGATAAAAGAGGGGAAATAAATAGTTCTTCTGTGCCATTATGTGTCAGATACTTGATGCATACTAAAACATTTAACCTACAAAACAATCCTTGGAATAAGACGGTACTATCCCCATTATGCAGATGAAGAAACAGAGGTCCAAGTGTGTAACTTACCCAAGGCCACAACATAAAAAAGAAGTAGAATCAATCCACTTAGGTATGTTTTCAAAAACAGTAATATTTCTTCTTATTGATCTGAAAGTAAAAAAGTATAGGACATTAAAAAACAGAAAGATAACTGGCCTGCTTTGTTCCTAGCTCTGATTCTTTTTTCTTTTTTAAAATATATGTGGGGGTTTTTTTATTTATTTTTAATTTTTTTTAATATATTTTATTGATTTTTCACAGAGAGGAAGAGAGAGGGATAGAGAGTTAGAAACATCAATGAGAGAGGAACATCCAGCAGCTGCCTCCTGCACACCTCCTACTGGGCCAAGGTACATGCCCTTGAGTGGAATCGAACCCGGGACCCTTCAGTCCGCAGGCCGACGCTCTACCCACTGAGCTAAACCAGTTAGGGCATAAGTTTTTTAAAATATATTTTTATTGCCCAGCTGGTGTAGCTCAGTGGTTGAGCATCAACCTGTGAACCAGGAGGTCACAGTTTGATTCCCGGTCAGGGCACATGCCTGGGTTGTAGGCTTGATCTCCAGTGGGGCATGCAGAGAATCAATGATTCTCTCTCATCATTAATGTTTTTATCGCCTTCTCTTTTCCTCTGATGTTTCTCTCTCTGTGTCCACACGAGGACATCCCAAATTGAATTTTTATAAAAACCCAAAATTCATTATTTAATAACTAGAGGCCTGGTGCACAAATTCGTAGCTCCTGCGTTGAGCATCTGCCCCCTGGTGTTCAGTGCGTCATCACAGTGACCATCGACTGGCCACTTAGGCATATAGATAGATAGATAGATGACAGATAGATAGATAGATAGATAGATGATTGATAGACAGATAGATAGATAGATAGATAGATAGATAGATAGATAGATAGATAGATAGATAGATAGATAGATAATTGAGTGCTGAGTACTAGGAAATACTGCACTGGGTACTTGGTAATGAATAGGAAGGAAGATAAACATGATCCTTGTCCTCATAGAACTTACCACCTAGGGTAGAAGAAAGACATTCAAGAATTTTAAAAAAATTAATTGTGATAAGAAATAGAGAGAAATACAGGATGCTCTGAAGATTTTTTTACAGAATATGTGACCTAGTTAGGTAAGGCTTCCCCTGAAGATGGGACAGCTGGGATCTGAAAAAAATGAGTTAGTGAGACTTGGGAAAAGGGACCATGGGAGGGAAGATCACTACTATATATATATATATATATATATATATATATATATATACACACATATATATATATATATATATATATAAAATTTCCCCCCACAACATTAAAGAGCTTATCTAAATAATTAGAGAGGTTTGCTGCAACCAGAGTAATTATTTTATGTAAAAAATTCCAAAACTAAGGGGATAATTTCTACAAAATTTTTAATAAAAAAATGTCAACTTAATTTAATTGCACACCAAAAAACAAACAAACAAACAAACAAAAAACCATGAGCTTTACAGACCCTAGTTTGTTCTCTCTATAATTTGCAATGGTGTAGTATTATCTTCTACATTGTCATTGCAGAAACTTTAAAAAGAACCTAAATAGTAAATGATAAGGTTCTCATTCCTGCCTTCCATCTAAATCTTTAAAATATCGCACAATTATCCATTCCAGCACTCTACCCATTTTAGCAAACGGGAGTTTTCAGAGTTGCAAATACCTCAATCACAAAACAGGTTAAACTACAACCATGCCACAACCACCTGCTCTATACCTCATTCCTAGTTATACAATACTGTAGTTACATGGCCCTCTCCAAGCCAGTCACAGCCTTGGTTGTCCCCAGCCAGAAGATTTTTCACCTCTCAACATTCAAAAGTAATAATAATAGTTCTGAATTTCTATTATAAATAAGTAAAGAGGAGACACACAGATCTAAGGGAAAAGATAAGGAGGTTGACCAAGACAGGAATCAAACTATAATTAATATTCCTATCCCCCTTTTTTTTTTGCCTGCATCATGTGTTTTTGATTTTAGGAACCACAGAGAGAACTGTTAGCTTTTTATGTGCCTATAAACATTTATATCCATTTTTAAAGTTTGGCATCCCCCACCATTTTCATTTTGAATTCATGTTGGTCAATTACGACTGCTTTGATCTTTTGGGATTTTTTTAAAAAAATCAAGTTTCAAGTATCTAATTTTATTTGAATGTAATAACTGGTAAAATGTCTATATATCAACAAGGTGCTACAGTTGTTCAAACTCCTCTCAGGCAAGAGGGCAGAAACTTGCCACCCAGCTTTTGAAAAAGCTTTTCTTATGATAATGAAAGTCTTTGAGATAGCAGCAATAATTGCTGTAGGATGTAAATTAAAGGTAATGAATAATAAACCTTGATTATCTTCAAGGTCTTCGGATTTCTTCATAACTTCATATACCACCCTGTGCCCTTTACAAGGCACACACTTTGCCAACAGGCATTTCACTTGTGACTAATCTAACTCCAAGCTTGTCCTTGAGTAGGCATTGAGGTTTCACATTTGTTTCATTATAGCTTCAATTCTGAAAGTTGTGTTTGTTTGTTTTTATCAGACTTTCATCAAGATTAATCGCATTTTGCCCTTTATGCCTGTTGATTTTAGTTGCCACAAAACACCAAAGTCTTTGGGACTCTAATACCCATAAGGCTCTGAACATTCCCTTTCTGACCCATTTCAAAGCTTGTTCAACACCTTAAATCTTTCCACTGTTCCCTCTAAGACACAAAATTGCCTTCTCTGAACATTCCCTTCACTTCTTGCTTTAAAACCAATCAACCCTGCAGCCCTCTTCGCTGCAGCCCAAACTCCATTACTATTAGGCCTGCAGGTAGAAAAGATGACATGTTTGTTCCTTATTGATCCTTCCAGACCATTCTTCCTCCCTCCTCCATAAACATTCCCATTTAAATTTTATGACATCAAGTTACAACACTAACTGCCTTTCCCTGCTCCAGTGTTCAAACACCATCCAAGCCAGTATCCACTTCCCCACCTCCCCGCTACATTCCTTGGAGATTTTAGTTCCTAACTCCCTGACACTGTCTCAAACCCTATTCTTGTCATAATTCCCAGTTGGCTTCAGTGTTCACATAGATGATCCATCTAATAAATTTTACTCAGTGCTTTGACCTCCTCTCCTCCAATAACTTTATCTTCTACCCTACTCAGCTACATACTCTCATCATAACTTAATCCTTGTCATTCCTAGTAACTACTGCCTCTCAGTCATCTCAGTATGACGTATTCCACTCTTTGACAACCATCTCCTCTCTTTTTAGCCTGGAATTTGGAAAATTCCAACAACCCTCTGACTGTACTAGAACTACTATTCATTTATTCTAACATATTTTAAAAAAAATTTAAATCTTTATTGTTAAAAGTATTACATATATCTCCTTCCCTCCCCCCCCCCCCCATTGATCCCTTTTAGCTCGCCCCCCACCACCTGCCCCAGGTCTTCTCCACCCTATTGTATGTGTCCATGGGCTCTGCATATATGCATACAAGTTCTTTTCACCCACCCACCCTCCCCTGCCTTCCCTCTGAGGTTTTAACATCTTTTTATTGTCTCTCACCCTTCATATCTTAACTTCTGTCCTTATCTAGCTTAAATTGCATGGTCAATCATAATCACTCCCTTACATACACTCCTTACAATACACCCAGTGCTCTTGCCCTTCTCTTGTCTCTTTGTACTTGGCCAAACCACAACCTTGGTTATTTTCAACTTCCTGACTCTTACATACTTGCACCTGTTCATATAAACATGGCTGCAGGAAACAAATAAATAAATTGGTCTCATTTATACTCATGACCTCTAACTTCAAATAGGCCTTCATGAGCCTAAGCAAACCCTGAAAGCCCCAGTTACCTAGGAACCATAACTCATTTCCATTCCACAAGATAGCACACTGGTCCATTAATTGATGACATGCTGCTGATTGGACCTGGTGAGCAAAATGCAGCAGCTACTCTAGACTTTGTTGTAAGACACTTACATGCAGATACTAGTATACTATTTTTGGAAAAACAGCTCTTGGATTGCTTTTGAACCTTAATAGAGACTGAATGCACAACCATGCATGAGCCATTAAGATACCATGTGACCTGTGCTGCCTATCATGACTTGGGTGTTATCTAACTCACCAAGCCATAAATGTAAAACGCACAGCAGCACTCCATCATCAAATAGAAATGGTATGTATGTGATTGGGCCTAAGCAGACCCTGAAAGCACCAGTTACCTGTGGAAGTGACCCAAATGCCTATGATTGCCACTCTTGCCACACTACCTTCTCTCTCCCATCTTGCAACTGTGGTGTCATAGGGAGTTGCCCATCATCAGTTGACAGAGGAAGAGAAAACTGGCCTGGTTTACTAGATAGTCTTGGACAATATGCAGGCACCACCCAAAAGTGGGCAACTGCAGCACAAGAGTCCCTCTTTCTGGGACATACCTGAAAGATAGTAGCAAAGAGAAATTCTCCCAATGGGCATAACTGTGAGCAATGTATCTCGTTGTTCACTTTGCTTGGAGAAGAAATGGCTATGAATATGATTACATAATAATGTACAGTCTGTGGCCAATTACTTTTCCCCAGCCACCACTGTTATTCATTACAAAGTGGCCAGGGTAGCAGGGATGAAGGTTACACATGGGCTTCCACTCAACACGGCCATCCTGGCTATGGCCACTGCTGAGTGCCCAATCTGCTAACGGCAAAAGCCCACACTGAGTTCCTGATATGGCACCATTCCCCATGATGGTGGCCAGCTACCTGGTGGCAGGTTGATTATATTGAACTTATTCCATTATGGAAGGGTCAATGTTTTCTTTTACTGGATAGACATTTGCTATAGATATGGATTTGCCTTCCCTGCATACAATGCTCCATCTGTGAACTTACAGAACTTATGCACCATCATGGTATTCTATACAGCATTGCTTCTGATTAGGGAATTCACTTCACAGCAAATGAAGTGTAGCAATGGACTCATGATCATGGAATTCACTAGCTTTACCATGTTCCCCAACATCCTGCAACAACTGGCTTGACAGAACAGTGGAATAGTCTTAAAGGC